AAAAAACGTACCTCCGTGGTCGAAAGTGCATGGACCCTGGAAGACGATCCCATGGACTCTGAAAACCGCTGGTTGGTAGAGGAAGACACTCTTCCAGGGGCCAGGACGTGAGTGGACTCGGGAGTGTACTCTTCCAAACATGCTGCATGTCCATCATGTCCATCATCGCCTCCCTGAAAAAGAAAGAAACACTGCCGCCAAGATCCGATCCAAGATTCATACCCCCCGTCGACCTCCTCCAAAGCGGAGGTCATAAAACGTAGACAATGAGAGGGGTTATCCCCCTGCCATTCTCTAGAGGATATGGACAGGAGGATGAAAAAGCACATGAAAACACCACTAACAACAGGTCGCCCAGTTACCCCTCCCCACAGGCTTGCCCCTCTTGCCGGCAGGCCAGCTGGGTCTCCCCAACTCGTCGCCGGTCTCAGTAGTCTCGGGTCGCCTACAGAAGGATGTCGCCGAACAAATCAGGATCATGGCACCAAGGTACGAGAAAAGACTGCTGGAACCTCAGCATTCACCGAACATGGGAACCTCTTCCAAGCACCGCTCGGCGATGTCCCGACCCATCTAGTTGCAACGTTCTCAAGAAAGTTTGGGAAGACTCACTGGTGGACTCTGGTGGACCGGGTTGGTTTCACGCGAAACCAGACATGCTAGCATGGATGCACAGCATGGCACAGGCCACCCATGTCCATCCGGTCGCCTAGCGCGCTCCTTGATCTCCTTGAGACCTCTTCCAAGCTGGGCGACGCTGCCACGACCCGGCAGAAGCTCCTCGGTGACACAGCACAGAAAACCCACGCGTGCGTAGAAAACGAGAAGACTCACATGTGCCAATGGAACTGGGACTGAACCCAATGTGTATACTAACCAGTGTCCTGTGCAAAGGATTCCATTTGCACAGTCCATGAAGTGAGGAATAGATCAGCTGATTCTTTCTCATCCATCATCCAACGGTCGATGAGGTTTGGACTTAGTTTAATTAATTTCTTGATCCTTTGCCAGCATGACAAGCACCGCCCCTCTTTTCACAAGCTCGTCCAACTCGTGCGAGAAAGGAGGCCTACTGGTGAAACCAGGTAATTATAGTCGTTCCTTATGGTCCTAAGAAATCTCCAAAACGCAACGCATCCCTCAACTATAAGGGATGAGCAGTTACGGTCCAGCAAGTCTGCATGTTGCAACACTAGTGTTACTCATCATAGCAAAACCAAGCCGTCACCAGCAATCCAGTAGAACTCACTGATGTGATTCACCTCCTTCATGTTGTTGTGCATCCAACATGAAGGAGGCGATCGCCTGGCACCGCGACAGAACGCGCGTTTCGCTCGTGTTTCTCGCGTGTACCTCGCGGTCGATTGGTGTGAAGATGGTCGACTTTTTGAGGCTAAAAGCAGTCAAATCTTAGACTGTTCGACGCTTCAGTTTGAACATGCTTGAACTTAATTGCCTTTGAATCAACTCTTTACCCTTTTGCAAACTGAACCGTCTTGCGTCAGAATGTGTGAATCCGGTTTTGCACAGGACATCACTGGTCAACTAAATCAACTGACCACAACTTTGCATGGTCAAGTCGGCCCAAGACTTGATCTGGGGCATGTCGTGTACCACCGACAGGGAATGGTTGATCTTCACAGGCACGGGCTGCCAGGGGCAGCAGGGCTTTTGTGGGCACTGGGCACAAGCTTTGGCACTCAGATTCGCCACACCAACACCACCAACACCACCTGCACCACCTGCACCTGGACTACGTGCCCCTGCCATGGTCAGTAGCTCGGTGAGGTACCAATGGCCCGCCGCATCCGCCGCCGTGCCGAAGACCTTGCGCCCGGGGCCCGCGCTGCGGTCGTAGCGGTGCCAGTGCTGCGAGGCCTGGCGCTGTGGGACGTCGGTCTCGCCGTCCAGGAAGAGCGGCATGCAAACGAAGGCCTCGTCCACCGCCAAGATGCGGCCAGTCGTTGAGCTCCTGAGAGGGGATGGAGGAGGAAGCGGAAGAGGAAGAGGGCGGGATCAAGCTAGCAGCTATAGGCGGCCGCGGCCGCTTTGCCTGGCCTGCTGTTAGATGACTTTGGGTGGATTGACAACGGATATCGATCAGTATCTTTCATCTTCATACCGTACCTTTCTACTACAAATCGTATCTTTCAAGCTGATTGACCCATAATATTGGCCCCCTGAATGAATCCCCCCACCTCAGATCTTGTGGAAGCTTCGCCAAGAGCCCTTCGATGCTGTGGTTCCAGAGGTGCGGCCGTTTTCGGTCCGAGCATTGAGGGTTGCAAAGCGCCACCTTGAAGGGAGAACGTTTGGAAAGCGCGAAGATGATCTTCCCTTTCTTCTTCTTCTTGAAATATGCCGGTAACGTCTCTGACAGTAAAGGCTGATACACCAAGGGTGGCTGGCCTTGTGACACATCAGGCCCATAGTGCTGGATCACCAAGAGATCGGGTCCCTCCAAGATCACACGTTTCAAGCGCTCAAAGGCCACCCGGATCCCTTCCTCCGTGTAGAACCAAATGCGATAGTCCTGAAATGAGAGACGTAGGTCGCCCACCTGGAAGTCCAACCAGCCCCAGCACTTGATGTTGGTCCCTATGCCGGGCACATCCTCCGTGCCCGCGAAGCTCTGCCAGGCCTCAGGTACCAATTGGTCCACTAAGGCTTGTAGGGCGCCTCGCATGACCGAGTTGCCCAAGATCGCGAGCCACAGTGGCTTGGTGACCTTCCTTAGGACTAGGATGTCTCAAGACAGCTCCAGACGGCGAGGTCCCAGGCACATGGAAACAACCAATGAACCAAAACACACTTCTCGCAGGGTGAAGAGGAATTTGATATGAGTTGATCATGAGGTGATTCAGTTCGGGAAACAAATGAAAAAAAACACATACTCAAACCATGAATTTCCAGAAAAACAGGAAAGCATCTCATGGACTTCTGCAGGGCTGTGAACATGCCAGTGGCAGCTCCTGGAGACCAGGGTCCATCCATCACCCCCAACTGCACCAGCCACTGCGAGTGCGCACCCAGCGGCCGTCCAAGGCATCCACCCCTAACTTACAGCGGCGTCGCGGTAGCGGCGACGACGCCGCTGGAGTCACCTGCAGCTGCCTTGGGCTGCCTTGAGCTTCAGTGAAGAGGAAGGGCTTACCTTGGATTGGCTGATCAAGAACCGGGGAAGAAACAAAAACATCTTCTTGGCGATGTATAGCGGTTGCTTGGTTGCTCTTTTGTTGTTTCTAA